TGTTGACCAGGATGGTCTCGATCTCTTGACCTCGTGATCCACCCGCCTCGGCCTCCCAAAGTGCTGGGATTACAGGCTTGAGCCACCGCGCCCGGCCAAATTTTGAATTTTTGAAAAGATTAATAAAATGGATAACCTGCTAGCAAGACTTGTCAAGAGAAAAACAAATTGCTGGCATCAGGAGTTTAAAAGTACATCACTACAGGTCCTACAAATATTAAAAGGATAGTAAGAAAATACTAGAAATGATAGTTAATACATTAAACAATTTAAATGAAACAGGAATATTCCTTGAAATATGCAAATTAACAAAAGTGATATAAGAACTAGAAAATCCAAATAACCTATTATCTATTAAATAAATTGAATTTCTAATCAAAACTTTCCCGCAAAGAAAACTCCAGGCCCCAATCAAAAAACATAAAATACCTAGGGATAAACCTAATAACAGGTGTTTAAGACTGGTATATTGAAAACTATGAAACATTACTGAGAAAATACCTGAATAAACTAAGAGATATACAATGTTCCTGGATTGAAAGGCTCAATGTAGTTAGAATGTCCTGTCTCCCTAAATTGATCTGTACATATAATGTAATCCCAATCATAATTTTAAGGGTTTTTTTTTCTCTTTATAGAAAGTGACAAGCTGATTCTAAAATTTTTATGGCTGGGCAGGGTGGCTCACACTTGTAATCCCAGCACTTTGGGAGGCCGAGGTAGGAGGATTGCTTGAGCGCAGCAGTTCAAGACCAGCCTGGGCAACACAGCGAGACCCCATCTCTACAAACAAACAAACAAACAAAAACTTTAAAAACTAGTTGGGCATGGTGGTGCACGCCTGTAGTCCCAGCTACTTGGGAGCTAAGGTGGGAGGATCGCTTGAGCCTGGGAAATCGATGTTGCAGTGAGTTGAGATCGCACCACTGCACTCCAGCCTGGGTGACAGAGTGAGACTCTGTCACTAAAATAATAAAACAGTTATGGAATTGCAAAAGACCTAGACTTGCTAAAGAAATCTTGTTAAAAAAGAACAAAATTGTGGAATGTATTTTGACTTCATGGCTTCCTGTAAAGCTGTGGTCATCAAGACAAGGTCAGGATAGACAGGCTGACCTTCAGCCGAGGCACTAGGTCCATCAGTGGGGAAGGACGGTCTGACGCAGCATGGCTGGGACTGCTGGAGATTTGTATGGAAAAACGAACCCCAACTCGTATCTCACGCCACACCAAAAAATTAAGACCTGTGACAGACACAAACACAAAGCCCAGAGCCACAAAGCTTCCAGAAGAAAACCCAGGAGAACACCCTGATGAGTTCAAGGTAGGTAGATTTGGTAGGATACAGAAACACTAACCCTTAAAGAAAAAAACTTGATAAATTGGGCTTTATTTTAAAATGCCAGTGGAAAAATGAAGGGATAAGCCACAGAGAAAAAATATGCACAGCACATGGACAAAGGACTTTATCCGGAACCTATAAGAACTGCTACAAATCAACAATTAAAAGATAACCCAATTTTAAACAATGGGACAAACATTTGCAGAGATACTTTACGAAAAGAAAGAGAGTAACGTCCATCATACACATGAATACATGCTCAGCATCCTGAGCCATCAGGGACATGCAAGTTAAAACCGCACTGAGATTTGAGATGCTGCTTCACTCTCCAGGATGGCCACTGTCAGAAAGACTGACAGCACTGGATACTGGTGAGGGCAAGAGTGTGACTGGGGGGAATGGAAAGTGCTACCGTCACTTTGGAAAACTGTTCTGCTGTTCTGCATAAAGGCAAGTGTACATCTACCCTACAACCCAGAAAGTCCACCCTTAGTATTTAATCAAGGGAAATGAGTATGTTCACAAAAACACTTGAACAAGGATGTTCACAGTGGTCTTACTGATAATAATCAAAAGCCAGAAATAGCCCGAGCAACAATCAACTGGACAATCCATAAATGGATTGCAGAACAATTATAAAATGGAATACTGTGACACAATTAAAACATTTTAAATTGATTATGCAAACACATTGATGAATCCCACAAATACTATATTAAATAAAAATCAGATGCAAAAGTTCATAACCTTAAGAGTCTATTTATACGACATCTAAGAACAGGCCAAACTAATCTACAGTAATAAATATCAGAAAGCAGCTCCCTGGGCAAGTGATTGAACAAAAGTGAGAGAAGACCTATATACAAATAAATTTGAAAACCTAAAGTATATATTTCCCTAGGAAAATACAAGTATATATTTCCCTAGGAAAATACAAAAATTGACCCCATTAGAGAGAGCAAGCTTAAAAGATCAACTCCTGTAAAAGGAATAGAGAAAGTTATCAAGGAATTACCCACAAACATGCACCTGGTCCATTTGGTTTTAACATGGAATTCCACGACATCTTCAATGTTCAGATAATTTCAATGCCCCATAAATTGTCCCAGAGCATAGAAAGTGAAGGAAAATTTCTAGTCCTTTTTAAGAAGTATAACATTGACGCTTAACTCCGATATGGAGAGTAAAATAAAAAAGAAAATGACACACCAATATCACCTTTGAATATTGATGAAAATGTGCTAAATGAAGTATTGAGAAATAGACTCCAGTTTCACATTAGGAAAATCATGTGAATAACCAAGCAATATAACCAATAACCAAGCAGATATAATCCAAGGATGCAAGCTTGAGTCCATTAATACAATATGCCGTATTTACAGATCTGAGGGAAAATCTCATGATTATCTCCATATATGGTGAAAAAAGCCCTCAACAATTATTTCTGAAAACAAAGAAAAAA